CGAGCCAGCAGCGCGCCAAAGCTTGTCGCGCCGACCGCCCGTCGACGCAGCGCTCAGGTCTCGCCGTCACGTCACGGACGTAGCAAGCGCGGCTCGAGGGCTGCGTCGCGCAACGAATGCATCTCGTTGCGCGCGGAGCTGGCGCCGCCCCAGCAACGGCGCGGCTCGAGAGCAGCCCGTGGCAGCCCCGCAGCGTTCCGCAGCAGCTTCAGCACCTGACGGCACGGCGCGACGATGACGCGACATCATCGGACGGATTTGGAGCCACGGAACGTGAATGCGCTCGCAAAAACGTGCACTAGCGTCGAACGCAGCCGACGCCGCAGGATGGAGCTCTGCTTAGGCGAGAGCGTTGGAGCGTTTGTTGTCGAAATCAGCAAAGACTTCAGCGTTTGCAGGCGATTCTGTGGCTCGGGCTGCCCGAGAGCGGCTTATTCACTTTGGGTTCACCGCCTTGGTTTGCATCATCCCTATGTGGTACCCCCTTGGTTTGCACTGCTTTATTCACTTTCCCGGTATCCGCAGCCGGTCTCTTTCTCGCAAAGCGCGGGCTGCCAAAGTGGGCACTCCTCACACACGACCACCATGCGCGCCGCTGCACTATTCTTCGTGATCCAATGCGCCGTCGCGCCGCCGCCGCCCGGCGACTCGGGCGGCTCGAGCGGCAGCTCGAGCTCCTGCGCCACGGACGGCTCGTCGGCGACCTACGCCGAGACCAGCGCTACTCCCGCGTCCCGCGCCTCTTTTTTGCCCACGCTGTTCGTCCGCAGTCGCCCTCGACGGCAGCGACATCAACATGCGCACCATCGTGACGAGCACGTGTCCGAACCACGAGTCCATGTGCACGGGCAAGGACGTCAACGGCTGCGGCTACCCCATCGGCACGAACGGCGACGCGACCGAGGCGACGGACCAGGGCATCACGAAGATCGTGCCGGCGCTCCCGATCCTCAAGACGACCTACACGACCGACGACGTGAAATGCGAGATGGGCGCGATCGCCTACGCCTTGAACGGCGTGTCCATCTTCTCCGGCGCTGTCGAGAGCGACTGCTCCATCCTCGACGTTGAGGACGACATCGCGGAGTGGACGTCCTTCGACTGCTGCAGCGGCCATAGCGAGCTCTCGGGCATGTACCACTACCACTTCCCGCCGTCGTGCCTCCTCGCGCAGCTCGACGATTATAGCGACGGCCACTCGCCACAGATTGGCTGGTCCTACGACGGCTTCCCCATCTACGGCCCGCTGGGCCCCGGCGGCGTCGAGATCATGAACTGCGGCGTCGACGGCGCCGACGCCACCTACTGCCAGGACGAGTGCGGCGGCTACGAGGGCGAGCTGAGCGGCGTCGACACGTACACGTACCGCTACTACTTCACGGGGAAGACGAGCGACCTCAACGCGCTCCCGAGCGACCCGAAGCCCGACAGTGCGGAGCTCTACTTCCCTTTCACCATCAACTGCTACCGGGGCTGCACCTACGACGAGATGGCCGCGGGGACCTGCGCCGGCGCGGCGGGCACGACGGACGCCCACGTCGCCGAGGCGCACCCGGGCGTCACGGAGGTCCTCGGCGTCCAGTGCACCGACGGCTTGTACTACGCGGACTACGTCGCCGGCGCCGCGGCGTCGCCGACGGCGGCGCCCGTCGACGCGCTCGCGGGCGCGTGCGCGTCCGACGGCGTCTGGCCCTTCTACTGCACGGAGGCCGAGGCCGTCGCGGTGTCGCCGGACGGCACGGCCCACGCCATGGGCGACCTCTACATGCCCGACGGCGTCTCCATGGTCATGGACGGCACCTACGCCGGCGACGCGTCGGCCTGCGAGTGCGGAAGCTCCGACGATTCCATGGCCATGGACGACCACGGCCACGACCACGACGACCACGACGACTCCATGGCCATGGACGACGACGACGACGACGCGCTGAACAGCGCCTGCGCGGCGAACGTCGACGCCTTCTACGCGTGCCTGGGCGTCGACCAGCCCGCCGACGACGACGACGGCGACGATTGGAGCCCCGCGTCCTGCGCGGACGCGACGGCGGCGGAGTCGCTGTTCTGGTCCCACTGCGAGGGGAACCCCGCGGGCGACCTGTGCACCGACGAGTGGGAGGCCTACGTCGAGTGCATCTTCACGGCGGCCGCGTCGATGGGGTTCGGCCTGGACTGCGGCTTCGAGTGCACCGTCGCCGAGGAGTCCGTCGCGGGGTCCATGTCCGTGTCGGGCATCTCCCTCGAGGACGCCGAGGCCCAGGCGGCCGTCTTCGTCGCCGCGATCGCGTCCGCCGCCGGCGTCGCCGACTCCGCCGTCGCCGTGACCTTCGCCGCGAGCTCCCGCCGCAAGCTCTCGGCCGGCGTCGACATCGCCTACACGATCGCGACGGACTCGACGACGACGGACACCGTGCTGGCCGACATGGCGGCGCTGACCGCGTCCGACTTCGACTCCGAGCTCGCGACCGCCGCCGCCGACGCCGGCGAGTCGGCGACGTTCGCCGCCGTGGCCACGGAGGAGATCACGGCCCCGGAAGAGGTCGACAACGACCTCTCGGGCGCGGCGACGCTCGGCGTCGCCGGCGTCGCCGCGCTCGTCGCCGCGCTCGCCGCGCTCTAGGGCGCGCGGGATCGCCCGCCCCGTCGACGCGACGCGCGCGCCGCCGACGACGACGTGCGCCCTCCGCACACCCCAGAGAGAACGGCCGTCGTTAGCGCTTCGCCTGGAGCACGGCGAGCTCCTCCTTGGCCGCGTAGAACGCGCGGATGTCGTCGTCCGCGTCCTCGTTGCCCGTGAGCTTCGGCGGCTTCGGCTGGCTGGCGTTGAGGGGCGGCGTCGCCCAGGCGGACCGCGCGGGCTCGGGCGACGGCTCCTCGTGGTCGTAGCGCGGCGAGTTGATCGGGATGCGCAGGACGTGGTCGTACCACTTGTCGAAGTCGGACTGGAGCCTCGCGCGGCCCGTCTCGAGCATGCGCTGGATGTGCTCGATCTCGCCCTTGAGCCCCCGCAGCTTCTCGAAGGACTCCTTGTAGACGCGCTTCTCGACCTCGATGGCCTCCTTCTTCTTCTCCTCCTCGGCGGTCGGCGGCGGCGGCTCGCCGTCGTCGTCGTCGCCGGAGACGCCCTCCATCGCGCGTTCGCGGCGGAGCTGCTCGATGGTCTGCTTGAGGTAGGCGATGGACTTGCGCGACGAGTTGACGCGCTCGCCGTACATCTTCGCCTCGCCGTACTTGGCCTTGAGCACGGCCTTGTTGTCCTCGATGGCGCCGTTCGTCCGGCACCGCTCGCGGAAGTACGCGTAGGCCTTCTGGGGGTCGTCGCGGATGCCCGCGGCCTCCTTGGGCGGCAGGCTGAAGTCGACGCCGCCGACGTCGCTCACGCGCATCTGGCGCCGCTTCTCCGCCAGAACTTCCCGGGGGTCGCGGCGCTCCCGGGGCCCCGCGCGGTCGGGCTTCGCGTCCGGCGACGGCGCGGGCGGCTTCCCCGGCGATGTTTGGTCCTTGCCCAGGGTCGGCAGCGGGCCGCCGCCCTTGGCCTGGCGCACCATGTTGACCAAGATGGCGATCTCGTTGTCGCGCTCCTTGAGCGTCCGCTGGAGCGCGTCGCAGTCGCCGCCGCCGCCGCCGCCGCCGCCGCCGGGGCCCGCGGTCGCCATGGCGCTCAGCACCATGTTCTTCAGGATGGCGAAGCAGTCCTTGATGCGCGTCAGCGTCAGCGGCGAGACCCGCAGGGTCTCGTGCGCGTCCCTGGAATCCACGTAGACCTGGCACGCCTCCGCGAGGTCCGCGCGCTCGCCGTCCGTGAGGCTCGCGCCCTCGCCGGCCTCGCCCTTGAGGAAGGTCACCTCGGCGCGCAGCGTCGCGACCTCGCCCTTGAGGCGCCGGATGGTCACGAAGGGGTCCGTCTCCTCGTTGACGTGCGCGTCGTTCTTCACCAAGGCGACGCGCTGCGCGAAGCGGCACGTCGAGATGGACTCCTCGGTCTGCTCCTTCTCCGCGGAGCAGGTCGCGACCATGACCGTCTTGCAGTTGCCGCCGAGGGAGTCGCGGAGCACGGACGTCATCATCGAGTTGCGGTAGGGGATGTGGACGCGGCCGCCCTTTTTTTCGTTCAGCGCGACGATGACCATCTCGAGGTAGAAGAGGGACGTGTTGATGTACTGGGCCTCGCGCAGCGTGACGCCGTCGGACTTGGTCTTGTGGACGCGCTCGGACCCCGCGAGGTCGACCATGTGGAGCTTGGACCGCAGCACGCGGTCGCTGCCGGCCCGGCGGCCCTCGAGGAAGATCGTGAACATGCAGTGCGACCGCGACGACGCCTGGTTCATCGCCGTCTCGCTGATGGCCCGGTTCGTGTCGCCGAGAAATAACAAATTCAGCGCGTCCTCCTCGCTGCCCGCGCGGTGCATCGACAGGTTCTTGAGGTGGAAGTTGCCGTTCTCGTCCTCCATCATCTTCACGCGCGGGAGATCCGTTAATTGTTTCGTCTCGTGCGACGGGTCGAGCAGGTCGAAGCCCTGCTCGTTGTAGATCTCCATGTAGGACACCTGCGGGGGGGGGGGGGGGG